GAGTGCTATAGCATCACAGCTCACAGCAACCTCAAACTCTTGGGCTTAAGCGATTCTCTTGCCTCAGCCTCCCAAGTAGCTGGGACCACAGGTACGTGCCACAACGCCCAGCTATTTTTTGGTTGCAGTTGTCATTGTTGTTTAGCTGGCCAGGGCTGGGTTTGAACCCGCCAGCCTTGGTGTATGTGACTGATGCCATAACCCTTGTGCTATGGAAACCAAGCCCATATTACTATATTCCTTTCCAAAATTTTACTTTATGCAAGAGAAGGAGATCAAAGGAATACAGATGGGGGCAGAGGAGATCAAACTCTCCCTCTTTCTAGATGACATGATCTTATACATGGAAAACTCCAGGGGCTCAACTACAAAGCTCTTAGAAGTGATCAAGGAATATAGCAGACGCTCAAAATACAAAGTCAATACCCACAAATCAGTAGCCTTCATATACGCCACCAATTATCAAGCCAAGAACAAATTCAAAGACTCTATACCTTTTACAGTAGCACCAAAGAAGATGAAATACTTGGGAATATATCTAACAAATTATAGCCCAAGAATGTGGGGAAAGGGGAAAGGGGGGGGAGGATGGGTGGAGGGAGGGTGATTGGTGGGATCTTGCCTATGGTTCATCTTATAAAGGTACATGTGAATCTTTCTAAATGTAGACTATAAATATCTAAACACAATAAGAAAATGACATGAAGGCTATATTAACCAGTTTGATGAAAATATTTCAAATTGTATATAAAAACAGCACACTGTACCCCATGATAGTATTAATGTACACAGGTATGATTCAATTAAAAAAAAAAATGGTGTTGAGAGAACTGGTTAGAAGAGAAGACTGAAACTGGACCCACACCTCTCACCATTGACAATAATTAATTCTTATTAGATAAAAGATTTAAATTTAAGACATGAAACAATAAAAATTTTAGAAGAGGCTCGGTGCCTGTGGCTCAAGCGGCTAAGGCGCCAGCCACATACACCTGAGCTGGCAGGACCCACCAAACAACAATGATAGCTGCAACCAAAAAATAGCCAGGTGTTGTGGTGGGTGCCTATAGTCCCAGCTACTTGGGAGCCGGAGGCAGGAGAATCACTTGAGCCCAGGAGTTAGAGGTTGCTGTGAGCTGTGATGCCATAGCACCCTACCCAGGGTGACAGTTTGAGTCTCTGTCTCAAAAAAAAAAATCTAGAAGAGATCTAGAAAACACTTGAAGATACTGGCCTGGAAAAAACTTTATGAGGAAGACACACACAGACCCCCATCAATTATAGCAACACCAAAAATAAGTAGGACTTGATCAAGCTAAAAAGCTTTGCACAGCTAAGAGTACCACAAACAAAACAAACAGACAGCCTTCAGAATGGGAGAAGATTTTTGCATGTTATGAATCTGACAAGGGCCTGATAACTAGAATCTACAGAGAACTCAAACAATAAAAGAGCAAACAACCCTCTCTATAAGTGGGCAAGAGATTTTAACAGAAACTTCTCCGAGGATGACAAATGGCCAACAAACACATGAAAAAATGCTCATCATCTTTAATCAGAGAAATGCAAATCAAAACCACTCTAAGGGATCAGCCCCTGTAGCACAATGGTTACGGCACCAGCCACATACACCAAGGCTGGCAAATTTGAACCGGGCCCGGGCCAGCTAAAACAACAGTGACAACTGCAACAACAAAAAAAAGAGCCTGGTGTTGTGGCGGACACGTGTAGTCCCAGCTACTTGGTAGACTGTGGCAAGAGAATCACTTAAGCCCAAGAGTTTGAGGTTGCTATGAGCTGTGATGCCATGGCATTCTACCAAGGGTGACAAAATAAAACTCTTTGTCTCAAAAAATAAAAATTTAAAAAAAAAAAAAAACACTCTTAAGATATTGCATAACCCCAGCAAGATTAGCCCACATCACAAAGCCCAAAACACCAGATGCTGGAGTGAATATGGAGAAAGATTAGCCCACATCACAAAGCCCAAAACACCAGATACTGGAGTAGATATAGAGAGAAGGGAACACTAATACACACTGAGATTGTAAACTAATACAGCCTTTTTGGAGCGAAGTATAGAAAATCCTCAAAAATCTAAAAGTAGACCTTCCATTTGGCCCTGCAATCCCATTACTAACTACCCAGAAGAACAAAAATCATTTTATACCACCAACACATTTGCAATAGAGTGTTAATGTGACTCAATTCTTTTTTTTCTTTTTTTTTAAGAGACAGAATCTTACTTTATTGCCCTCGATAGAGTGTGTGGCATCACAGCTCACAGCAACTTCCAACTCCTGGGCTTAGGCAATTCTCTTACAGGCTCCCGCCACAATGCCTGGCTATTTTTTTGTTGCAGTTTGGCCAGGGCCAGGTTCAAACCCATTACCCTTGGTATATGGGGCTGGTGCCCTACTCACTGAGCCACAGGTGCCGCCCATGGGGCTCAACTCTTAATTGAGTTGCCAAATTATGGAAGCAATCTAAGTGATACCTTTTACATTTACTGGATGGAATTGAAATATGTTCTTAGTAAAGTATCACAAGAATGGAACAATAAATATCCAGTATATTTCATACTAGTATGAAATCAATATATAAACGATTACATATTCATAAGAACAATAAAACCCTAATATAATCCAGTTCGGGGATAGAGGGAAGTGAGAGGGGAGAGGATGTATGGCAAAAGGAGAGAAGGCATGAGGCAGGATCTCACCCTAATGTGCACATTGTGAAGGTGTTTAACACCCCACTGGGTGAGGGACTCTTTTTCATTTTTCATTCTGTTGTCTAATACGTGTTAACTATTTTTATAGAGCTATAGTTATTATGTGCTTTAATGTGTGTTTGAAAAACAAGTTAATATGTTGCTGATCCACATCCTTTAATATGTAATTGAATAATATTGCGTTTAATTGATACACCACTTAACCAGTAACTTTTCAGTAGATAATGGTATAGTCTATAATTCAATATATATTCTCTTTTCTTCCTTTGAATTATTTCCTTAGGTTAAATAAACTTAGTGGGAGTGGAATTCTTAGGTCAGAGGGTTATCAACATTACAACCACTAGATTTTTTTTTTTAATTGAATATCACTACACCACACACTGAAGCTTAGCCATGTCAACTTTGATAGTAAATGTAAATTCAGTGTTTCGCTTTTATTCAGTTAAAGAGTTAAAAGTTATGCCCACTTCTGTTTTCCAGACAGGAAATCTTCCTCATTCCTATCGGCTCATCAGTGTTGTTAGTCACATTGGTAGCACTTCTTCTTCAGGTAAATGGACATCATGTTTTCAGCATTTTTATCACCGTCAATATGAATTGTATAAATAGATGTAACTGTTTTTATTTCTCTATTCATAAATGACCTAAATTCTCTGAGCAAAATGTATTTTTCAAAAGGGTATCCCAGTTATAGTATATTCCTTCCTAATTCTCTGTATGTGTTTTTAGAAACATTGTTGTGAGTAAGATGGATGTGGTAGCTGTTTCTTTCTCCAACTTCTTGTTCCTGAGAAACATTCAGTTATGTTTTTTAAAACTCAATTTTTTAATTTTATTTGTTGCAGGTCATTACATTAGTGATGTGTATGATATTAAGAAGCAGGCGTGGTTTACTTACAATGACCTGGAGGTATCTAAAATCCAAGAGGCTGCTGTGCAAAGTGATCGAGATCGGAGTGGTTACATCTTCTTTTATATGCACAAGTAAGAAACTACCAGATTCAAAATAATGGGTTAAAAGTCACTTGAATTCTTTTCTCTTTCCTTTGAAGACAACCTATTCCTTATAAATCCAGAGTATTTTGTCTCTTAACTCAGCATTAATTACTCATCACACAGTAGTATGTATCTAGGTACAGAACCAAGACAGTTTGTTTTATACTTGTAGAAGCTTTCCTTCCACAAGCCTTTTCGTCTACCAGTTTTAGCAAATAGAAGATCTGATTTATATGGATGAATGGGAACTACATAGCATTTTCATTAAAGCTAACTATTGCCAGTCCCCTCCCCTCAAAAACTAGCACCCAGGGGGGTTAAGATAGTGGTTGGATAAGTGAGCTGCTTATTTAATAAAGTGTAGGCACCAAATGGGATTGTGCAGGCTTTATGAGGATCTATTTTCTGTTGTTTTTTCTTCTGTTTACCCTTTGATTCTACTCACTAAATTTCTGGGGGGGGGATGTTTTTTGTTTAATTTTAAGAGAGATCTTTGATGAGCTCCTGGAAACAGAAAAGAATTCTCAGGCATTTAGCATGGAAGCAGGGAAGACTACCCGGCAGGCCTCGTGAGGAAGAAACTCCTGGGATGGCAGTGTGCACTGCGTATTCTCTCTTAACTGCCGCCCACCTCACCTTTCCTCTGCCCAAGGAGAATTTGGAATTCTACATGATGCGGGAGCAACAAACAGCTCAGGGCCAAACCAAAAGACAAAAATTGGAGTTATGCAGAATGCTCCGTACTATTTTATGGAAACCTTGGTCTCACATCTGTAGCTGATTATCCTCTTTTCTCTCCTACAAGAGTGGCACTTCTTTTGTCTTAGAAATACATGTTGTAAATATATAAATATATATGTACATACACATGCACGGGATGAATGGAGCCTTAAAGAGTTAAGATGAACCACAAGACTATGCTCATAATTAATAGCACAGCAGTTTGGAGAAAAAATGAAGGTGTCAAAGAATCCGTTCACCTGGGAAAAGTGTGAAGATATACCTATCCTTTGGCTTTTAGCTTTTATGTTTCTGGAGTTTCTTGAGTTTCACTCAAGTCTATAACCTTTCATGTGTGGTTTCTTACTAGTAAAGTTCACTGGAAAGCCAGCTCTCCATGTTACACTAATGACAGTTTGTTCTCCTTGCATGAGAGGGCCATTGCTGTCACCTGACTTGAGGAGCCTTTTTTTTTTTTTTTTTAATTTCATGAGTTCATAATATCTTTGCCGTTTACATGCAGTTCCAAGAAATGGATTGTTGGTGCTTTGGAATGTGTATGGTCCCATATTTGATATTCATTGTACACTTTGTGTTTTCTCTAAAGAAATTTCTTCACACAGAATGTTTATCATGTATCATTATGTTATGATGGAGATGAAGATAGAATCTTTTATTTTCTTCTGTATCATTCTTCCATGGAGCGGTATTATCCTAATGGATTGTAACCCAAACTTTAAAAGGTAGAAACATAATATTTCTTCAACTGGGACTTCCCAGCAGGACTACTTAGGGATAAGGAAGAATATAAGCATCTCTGTCTAACATAGGCCAAGAGAGGCATTCTTGTTTTAAAGCTGGATTTCTGGACCACTAAAGCTCAAAGCCCTACCACTAGTGTGAAATTAAGTACTTGAGCTATAGGATAAAGGTTGAGTATTTAATCATTTGCTGTCCGACTTTGCCCTTAAAATAGGTGCGAATTAAAATGTGATTGGTTTAGATTATCTCAAGAATAAACAGATAACAAAGGTGCATAATATATTTATCTTTTTAGGTGCTCTGAGTCGAGGCTGAGTGAGGATGCAACATCAAGTGCTACCTTAGTCAGTTAGCTGACATAACCAACTTGGTTAAAGCAGCTTATGAAACCATATAAAGAATGAGTTTGAAGGTGGAATTCTATCCACAAAATAATTTTGTGAGCCCAGATATCAGTAGGATTGCACAGAGTTTAGTATAGCAAAATGAAACTTTCATTAGTTTTCTTCTATGTTTTTTCTTTGCTTTTATTGTAAACAAGGGGGATTGCTTTTCAGACAAAAACCACATCAGGTATTTAGGAGGAAGAAATGTTTTAAAAACCCATCATCACAGAAGATACAACATCTTTTCTGGAAGATTGCCTTAAGAGAGCTCCAGCTCTACTCCTTGAAACTTGGATGTGTTCTAACATAGTTAACTCTTCTAAAATTTTGAATCTTCAAATTGTAAATGGCCTCAGCACTTTTGATTAACTATTGATAAATGCTTTGCTTCCTATCATCTGTGTGTATACTGTATCGTAGTAAATGTTTCAAAGTGGTACAGTGGTAGGATATGCAGGAGTAGTTTAGTGCAGAGGAAAATGCTTGTTTTCAAAACTAGCTTTTAAAAGTTTTGTTTTATTTCTACCGAGAGCCTCATTTGGTTTGGTTTGGTTTTGCTTGAAAATAACTGGTTTTCTCATAAATGAGTGACGCGATGATCAAAATTTTTGGCTAGTTATCATTTATCTTAACCTATCTGTGCATTTGAGAGCTTCTAGAAGCACTGATAAAAATTATCAGGAACAGTTTGAAGTGAGGGCTGCATTAAGACACAGAGAAGAATTGAAATAATGCCATTAAGCCTAGAAGCAGCCTTATTTGAATTGTTTTCATAGCTTGCACACATGTATCATTTAGAAATACACTTGGCTTAGAAATCTGGTTTGATTTTCATGTCTTAAGCAGGACTTGCTAGTTTAAGATAGGTTACTAGAGTACATGAATTATCTCATTGCTCACATACTTAAAAGTTTGGGACTTGAATTTCACTTGATACTTGTCCTTTGTTGTGGCCTTGTCAGCCTTTTCCTTTACTCCTTTCCTTTACTCTTTTGACTACAAATGGAGATTTCAGCTGGACAGTGTTGATGGGGTATGTTGGGGGTTTTTTGAGCTGGTTATATATATTTAAAAATTATAAATAGATAATATATTGTTTTTTTGCACAGTGTGATCAGTTTGCTCAGAACTGGGGGATGGACCCGTTAGCCTGTTGAGGCCAGGAAGGGACAAGTTAGATTGAGAGACAGAGTGCTTCTGTTCCAGGCAGTTTGCATGGTACCTAATTAACCTTCCTATTGAAAATACCAAATGTATGGTTACATTACTTTGAATGACATTGAATTGGAACTTTATAGTCATTAGTTCTAGATACAACCTTTTGATCTTATTTGAAATTTTTTGAAAGGGAAAAAACAAAACTAAATTTCAAACTCATTTTTATCCCCTAAAAGTATGCAGAGTTGGAAGGTTGCATATGACTAGATGCTATTATCCTCTTAGTAGTCATGACTATAATTTCAGCCTGTGAGAAAGTAGACTGTATTTTGCAGGAATATGTTTATATGTGTGTGCACACTCATAAGTTTTGTCTCATCAGGATAGAAGCAGCAGCAAATTCATGAATTAGTCTTCTACTTATATTTTGATTCCAAAAGCTATTTGTTTACTTGCTATGGTCTCTTAATTCTAGCCCTAACTTAAATGGCTCAGTAATAAGTACAACAAATGTAAATGTGTTTACGTTTTAAGTATGCAGTAGTTCTTACAGATCACTTAGTTTACTTTGAAAGGCAAATATTAGACTATACATTTTTTTCTTTCCTTGAACAAGTGTAAAATTCTCAAAGAGAGGCTTTAAAATGTAAAACCTCAGTAAAGTAATCCATGAATTTTTTAACTCTTGCATACTGCAATTATGGTTGTTAACTACATGTACAGCTACAGAAATAGTTATATAATGAAAATTATCTGGAAAAACCTAAAGACAAAAACAGGTAGTTTGTAAACTCTCTTGTGATCTACTGAAAAGATGTTATATTAAAACAAATATTATCCTTCTCTGTCCTATGAAATAATTGCAGTAGATTATTATCCAACTTTTTATTTTTGTGGCTCTGTTTGATTTAATCAACCCTCAGAGGTGGTCTTTTGTTTTAAATTAGGGAAACAGAGCTAGATTTACAAGGACGTGGCTCTTGGATATACGGATTTTTTTTTTTTCCCAGAAAATTATCGACCCAGCACCAGATGCAAGTCACATAAGTGTTCCAATAAAATGTCCTTTTTCTCCCCATTTTGCTCATCGCTGAATAATGCCTCTAACATCTTTCTACTGCATTACTTCAAGATTCTAATTTTGTCTCTATTGATATGTCTTATTAACATCTGAAAATAATATATATTTTATTGGAAAACTATAGTTTGTTAGACCTTAAGAGTTTTGTGGCAGAATTACTTTGTTATGTTTCATCAGTCATTGACTACCTTATGGCATGCTTTTGTTACTAGACTTCAGGCAGTCTCTTTTCCTTGTATCCTATTTATATACAAATAACAAATTGTTACCTTTCTATGCCTGTTATATATCTGATGGTTTTGAAGTTTTTATTAAAAAGTATGCCAGTGTGAATATAGCATTTGATGTTTAGTAACATTGGACTTAAAGTACAGAGATTCTCTTACGGGTATGTCCACTGGCATACGAATAGAATGGATGAGGGTCTGGATTAGGATCCAAATTTGTCAGGTCAAATGCCAGAACAAAGAAAAGCAATCAGTTGAACTGGTTTGCTTCAAAAACAGAGTGGACCTATATAAAGAGTGAGACCACATGTGGGTGTGCACGCCTATTGTTCCCAGGTTTCCATCCCTCTGAGCTTTTCTTTCTTTCCCTGCCTTCTCTGGCCTGTTGTCAGTGTTGTTTCTTTATGCTTAAGGAGAGGAAAACAAAAGTGAGCTTCCTACACTTTACCTAACTGAGCTACTACCAGGTGTGCTGGCAGCTGTGACCACATTATTTGTGAGGTGATTTTGTGTTCAGAGTGACTTTTGATTCTGATTCCTTATGTTTTTTTACATGGAGCAGCACTTTTATCTGTGTTTTAGCAGAATTCCTCTGTATCTTTTATTTTTCCTTGTTTTGTTTCCTTTTTAAATTATGCATAGAGTTTTTTTGTGTGTGTGTGAAATTAAAGCCATTATTAACCTTCTGTTGGTTTGACTATTATTTCTGAGGACACATTCTTGCAGACATATTTAGTAAGCAGTTGTTTGAAGTTGTGCAAATCACCTTCTTTTGGTTTTGAACTTGGACTTCCTTGCAGCACTGTTACATCTTCAAAGAATGGTGAACCAATGTTGGCTATAGTCATCACCACTGGTTCCTGTTATTTTCATCCAAGGAGCCTGTGAAGCTTTCCAGTGGCTTCAGAGTAATTTATTGTGAACCTAGCATTGGCCTTTACTAAGCTCTTCCTTTGCCTTATTATTGGGCGGTGGAGGGGTGGGTCGTGAAATAGCATTTGCCTTTAGACCTTGAGCCTAGGCACAGTAGATGTGCTGCTTTCATGGGTACTATTTAAAATATTGTGAAACCTAAGAGGGCAGTCTCCTAGGCCATTTAATTTTCCTTCAGCCCTTTAACTTTACAACCTGAATAAGGAGGTGAGAAAAGTATGTGGAAAAGAAAAGCCATTACTGGGAAAGATGTAAACCTGCAAAATGGTTCAGCCCACTTGCCATAGATAAGAATGAGTCATGATACAGAAAAACCTGGAGTGGTGCCTCAGAACTGTTATGTTCCATGGAGTGGTTATTTATTTATTTATTTATTTTTTGAGACAAAGAATAGCAAAGTCTCACTATGTCGCCCTCGGAGTTCACCGCAACCTCAAACTCTGGGCTTAAGCGATTCTCTTGCCTCAGCCTCCCAAATAGCTGGGACTGCAGGTGCCCACAACAATGCCTGGCTATTTTTTTTTTTTTTTGTAGTTGTCATTGTTTGGCAGGCCCAGGCTAGATTCAAACCTGCCAGCTCTGGTGTATGTGGCTGGCGCCCTAACTGCTTGAGCCATAGGCGTCAAGCCTGACTGCTCTTCTAAGGAGGGAAAGCTGTTGAACAGAGTGGTTAAAAATGATGCAGCGCCTCAAGATAGAAACAATCCAGTCACCTTATTGACAGCTGAAATTGAGACTGCAGACTCCTTGTGGAAGTATCTTTCTGAAGGAATAGGTAGGTTATTAAAAATGGCATTGCCAAAGATTGCTGTTCATAGGTACAAGTGTAAAATTTCACTTAAATTGGCATAGGTCTACTACCAGTTATAAAACAAAATGCCACAAGCCAGGTAGGGGAGGGTACTGTTTCACAACCATAGCTGCTCTTCTTTCTCAAAATAATCCTTTTTCTTTCTTGAGGTTTTGTTGTTTCCATCGAGGCAGGGCAGAAAAGGCAGCTGGAGTCATTCCAAAGGCCTTAGTGAAATCTTCAATGGACAGATGATCCTAGAAGAGGAGAAGGAAGGGATCAGAGGGCAAAGGTCATGTTCTCTGGGATTTGCACTAATGAGTCTCATAGGTGTGTCATGTAGTCATAAAGCAAGTAAGCAAAAACTAGCAATGTCAGGAGACCCCAAAAACGGATAGGAAGGAGTGCATGTGGCATTTAAGGATTCCAGAGATTTGATTCCTGAATTCGTAACAGGTCAGTTAATATGGTAAGTTGAATTTTTCTTTCTACCAGGGTCAAATTCACATTAGCCCTGACATAAGAATTAGGACCTTTGACTTAGCTTGGTCAAAGTGTTGCTGCTCTTTCTAGGGCTTAGTTTTCTTCTTTTTAAAATGGAAAACATTTCTCTCTCTTTTTTTTTTTTTTGCGACAAGAGTCTATGTCGCCCTAGGTAGAGTGCCAGGGTGTCAAGCTCACAGCAACCTCAAACTCTTGAGCTTAAACAATTCTCTTGCCTCAGCCTCCCAAGTAGCTTGGACTGTACAGGTGTCTGCCACAACACCTGGCTATTTTTGTTGTTGTTGTTGTCATTGTTGTTTAGCAGGCCCAAGCCAGGTGCAAACCCACCAACCCTGGTGCATGTGGCCGGCACCCTAACCACTGAGTACAGGCGCCGACCCAAAAAACATTTTTCTTTTTTTGCAGTTTTTGACCAGGGCCAGGTTTGAACCCACCACCTCCAGTATTTGGGGCTGGTGCCCTACTCCTTTGAGCCACAGGTGCCACCCCAAAAAACATTTTTTTTTTTCTTTTTTTTACAGTCTGGCTGAGGCTAGGTTTGAGCCCGCCACCTCTGGCATATGGGGCCGGCTCCCTACCCCTTTGAGCCATAGGCGCTACCCCCAAAAAACATTTCTTAAAGGTTGACTTGTGTTTGCTTTTATGATGACGAAAATACTACTACATATAAAAGGATATTGATAAGATATTTTGGTCGGTATTGAAAAGATATTTGGCTCACACCTGTAATCCTAGCACTCTGGGAAGCCAAGGCAGGTGGATTGCTTAAGCTCAGGAGTTGAGACCAGCCTGAGCAAGAGACCTCCCCTTCTCTCTGAAAAAAGCCAGGCGTTATGGCTGGGTTACTATAGTCAGCTACTCAGGAGGCTGAGGCAAGAAAATCACTTTAGCCCAAGAGTTTGAGGTTTCTGTGAGCTGTGATATCATAGCACTCTACCCAAGGTGACAAAGTAAGACTCTGTCTTAAAATATATATATATATTTATTTAATACATTGTTCATCTGCCATCACTTAAACAGTGAGTCTAAACCTGATCCACAAAGTAAGACAGTGAGCTCTAGATAGGTTTCTGCTCAAATCACTGCTATCGTAGGACATGGCTGTTCTAGCAAAATCCCCAACACCCTTGGGAGGGAACTCCCTCCTGGACTCCATTTACTTTGGGTAAGTTAGTAGACTGGCAGCAAGGGACATAGGGCCCACTCTGGCCCTAATGAACAGAACAAAACAGCAATCTAACTTAACATATACTGCTGTAGCACTTAACACTGAGGCAAATTTGAATATTCCCATTTTGGGTAATGAAGCTAAAGACTTCACAAAAGTCAAGGTCATCTGATTTCAGTACATGCTCTACTGTACCACACTAACTCTGCCGCCTTTCAGTGGTTTCAGGCATACTGTATATAAAGGCTTCTTGTCATTCCCTCCCAAACCTGCCAGGTATACTAGTCATCTGCAGTTGACTAGAATTTTATCATTTTAGATAGCTTTATCCCTCTTGGCTTACAGGTTTGTTCCTGGTTAAAATACAATGTTAAACCGCATCAGTCTTTGATATTCTACTGTGAATGTATCAGTCAGAGTATTTTGTAGCAGCAGGTTTTGCTTAGTGATTGTGGTAGGGTAGCGACAGGGAAAGTTTTCTAAGGGGAG